GGGACTCCCATGATGCACTGGGCTCCTCTCCCCTCCATACAGGTATAACCACCATCACATTCACTGACTCTGTTGGTTCTCCAGATCTGGAGCTTCACAGCTCTGATCTACAGTTTCTGGCCTCACAGACCTCCAGAACATCTATTGATCTGTTCTACTGCTGCTCTCCATCTGCTATCCTGTTATATCCCCATCCCCACTCTCATCCAACCGGTCCAGCAGATGGACGCCTTCCCTGAGCCTGGTTCTGGTTCTGAAGGAGAATTTAGTTTCCTTCTGTTGCAAAGTGCTGCTCAAAGGGGATTCAAAACTCAACTCTGGATTGTTGGGTTCTGTTTAAAGTCTGAGTTCTTCTCCTCATGATGAGATAAATGCTGCATCAGTAAAGCTGAGCTGCAGGACAGAAGGCTGCCAGTTCACATCCCTGTGAGACGTTCAGGTGTAATCAGTGACTGACCTGTGTGGGACAGGTGGGACAGGTGGGACAGGTGGGACAGGTGGGACAGGTGGGACAGGTGGGACAGGTGGGACAGGTGCGAGCTGTCTGTGAGTGAAGACTCCTCTTCCTTGTCTTCTCTGTGTTCCTCCATCTTCCTCCTCATCTCCTCCACTGTCCTGCAACGTTCTGATTTCTGGAAAACATGTGATTGGTCTGACCAATCAGAGAGCTGCAGCAGGTGTACAGGTATGAACTGTCTCACCTGTCTGAACTGACTCACCTTCAGCTGCAGCTGTTTGTCCTCCGTCTTCTTTTTCTGCCCCAAACTCTCTGCAGACAGAACCATCAGTCAGACATACCGGAGCCTTCAGAAGCTGAGCTCACCTAAGAGCTGAACTCACCTGCGCGCTGCAGCGCCTCCTGCAGGCTGGCCTGCGTTTCCCGGAGCTGCTGCAGCAGCTGCAGGCTCTGCTGCAGCGGGTCTCTGTAGCGAACGTACGCCACCAGCAGGACGAACACCGCGACACACAGCATGATGCGCCGCAAGATGCCGACGTAGACGGAGAGAAGCTCCTGAACATGAAACAGCACCAAGAAACTTAATGTAGAATATCTCAGGGAACAACAAGCCAAAAAACACCTGAAGGAATAAAAACAGGAGAAAAAAAGTCCACAAAAAAATTACTACATTCATTTAAAAAAGGCAAAAACTGTCCAGACCTGGTGTCTGAAGTCACTTTAATTATAAAAACAAAAACAAAAACAATGTCTGAAAAACACATAGAAGCAAATCAGAGAGAAAAATGTAGAGAAAGGGTTTGGAAAAGATTTAGGAATGTCAGAGACGATATCTGTGACCCATCTGCTCAAAATCAGTCGCACTGCGCCTGGAGCTACATCCCAGACAGCCCGCAGGACGTGAACCCGTGATGAGGTACTGACTTTGGGTTTGTTACTCAGGTCGGTCCATTTAGTTGTTGTCTACATGCAGGTAACATGTAATATGACAGAGCGTGATGACGTCACGCTCCAGATCGCTGTCACATACCGTCAGCGTGCACCAGAAAGAAGGAAATCATTTGTGCACGGCGCTGCGACCAACATGTCGCTGCCGGCCAATCCTGTCCCGTGATGTCATGTGGTCGCAACATGCTGCTGTTGTTTACACATAGCAGCCCGAG